TGACTTCAATGTTCACTTTTATATATATATATATACATACATTGAAAGAATGGAGCTTCCTGGGCGTATATTAGGACTGAACCTCAAGTTCTGAAAGCCAATGACGAAATTATATTATTGAAAGTTACGGATCAGTTATGTCGCCCTGTTAAACTGTTGGAGATAGGCCAGCGTTGAGGTCAGTTGAAAGCACCGATCATCTTAAGTAAGTTACTTTATGTATCCAAGAAATGTACATAACCTAGTTAGGAATGTTATTCCCTGTTTCCCTCCGATCCTCTTGTCCTCAATATGTTCCGTGAGTGTCAAATTCTCCAAGCCCTCTTTCCTCGTTATGTATCAAGATATTTACACAAGCTTATTAAGTATGTTACTCGCTGTTTCTCTCTGCCCTTCTTGACTTAAAAATGTCCAGTGAGTGTCAAATTCTCCACGCCCTCTTTCCTCATTATGTATCCCAGAAATGTACACAAACTAGTTAGATAGGTTTGTCGCTGTTTCCTTTTGCTACTCTTGCCGTAAATATGGCCTGTGGGTGTCAGATTCCTCATTATGTACCCTAGAAATTTCGACCCTGTCTTTCTGATTCTAAGTATAATGGTTCTTTTTATTTCCATCTGCACTAAGAGTTCTTCGTTACCCACATAAAGAGGAGTAACACAAGGATGCCTTTTTCAATGTATGTTTAAACTAGAGGGTAGGAAATGTGACATCGCATTCCGAAAGTGAAACGATAAGCTACGTATTAAGAAACAGGAAAATTTTGTTAGAAACAAAAAGAAACGTGCCGAAATATCTAATATCAATCTTCTTATATGGTAGTAAATACTAGACAATTCTTTCCCAGATGAAGAGAACACATACGGCAACAAGCTTGTGTGATAGGAAGTTGTAGAGAGCCATGATCATCCACGTCCGGCAGGAACACGGCACTTGGAAGAAGAATATACACTGAGAACTGGATGGCCAATCAGGATGTATCATCAATGGTCATAATCTTCAAAACCTAAAATGTGCGGCTGGTAAACGATGAAAGGTATAGCCAAGATTACAACTGACTAATAAGGGCTAACTGCCATCTTATGAACGACCTTCCACTAATTAGCTTTCTAAATTATTCGTATAATTAAGCCATTAACTATTCATCAAGATCGGAGACATATCTGGCTGAATGGGAACACCGTTAATGAAGAAAAATAATGAAAGGGTGTAATTAATTTGTCACCTTACGGGTTATGTCGTTCTTCACTTAAGGCCATGTCATAGTGCAACTCACGTCCAGTACTGGAGGTTTATCTAAAATCTCGTCGTTACGCTCGAAGCGATGATTTTTAGTTTTGGCATCGGTTTGAGGAAGTGCATTGCTGTAATTGGCAACAAATTTTTGCTTTTTACATTTCGAATAAATATATATGGGCAATCTTTCTTTTAAAAGGGACAGAAAAACAAGTAAAATTTAATTAAATATTTATTTAGTTTTTCCAGCATTCTTACATTTTTTCTTTTGGTGGGAATGGAAAAAAAATATCCGTATTGTCCATTATCCCTAGAGCTTTCGGCCACTTCTTTAGCCATTTTCAAGGGGGTTGTTTTTGGGGGTTGTTAATTTCTCTTCATGTTTGACTATATAAAATGTGCTTTAGTATTGTTTTGAAAAAAAAACATTAGGAGCGTTAATTCCGAACTTCGCGTATTGAGTGCGGCTGGAATTCAAGTGAGTATCTTTCTATTGTTTAAAAAAATTCAACACCCCTATTACTACTGTTTAATAAGGTGACGTTGATAGTGGGAGCGAGATGTATTATATAGAGGGCCTCTTTGACGGCAAGATGTCTCCGGTAATCTGATTTACATAAAATTTTTGTGTTTTCGACCAGAATTTTCATTAAGAGATCTTCTAAATCCTTGGTGGCTAGATGTTTTTTATGATACTTTGGTCTGATAAAAGACACGGGAAGCGTCTACTCATGGAGGTGGTAGTATGACCTATAAGGTAATTGATTTATGACAAGAAACACAGGCTTGTACTAGGCAGCGAAACTGATACCCTATATAGATCATCGCTAGTATAGATTTGTTGAGGTTATTTTGATTAGTGGCAACAAGGTTTGCGGTTTTCCATTTTCTGTAATGTAAGCTTGACATACTTTTTTGAATTTATAGTAGAAATATGGTGTATAATGATTCTTCTGTTAACCACGATCACCATAGTCTATGAATATAGAATACAGCGCAGTACGTAATCTGTTCAATGAAACAACGTTATAGATTAATACTCACGAGTCAGATATTTTAATGAATCTGACTATATCGCCAATACCACCAGCAGCTGTTCCGTAATTCTTCAGTCTTCAATATCAAAGGCTGGCAGTGAGTATTCGAGAAAAAGATGGCCGCCTTTATACACGTCGTATTGAATATTTTGAGCTTTCTGATTGGTTAACACTTCTATTGGTGAACTATAAAATGAGTCAGCTCATTTTGGCTGGCTCACTAGTAC